TTTGGCTTATGACGGTTGTTATTCATATCCCCCAGTGGAAGCGGGGATAAGATTCTTTATGATAAATATCTGTAAACATGGTTTATAGAACTTCCCCCAAAGGTAAGGGTATGTATGTGGTACAACCTTGACTGTTCTTTCATAGCCAACATGAATGATAGTTTTAAAATCTATTTATAAGCCAGGCCTGTAAGCACAGCTATTGTAAGTGCTGAGAATAGCAGAGTTAGTCCAAGGCCGGACTGAGCAACTTAGGGAAAGACAACATCAATGTAAAACAACGGAGAAAGGCTGGAGAGATAGCTCAGTCCTGGAGTGTTTGACTACCATGTACAAGGTGGACTCCCAAGTTCTCTCCAGAAATCCAGTTATAGTATTTATTGTATGGGTCTCTGAGAAGAAGGCTTTGACCATGTTCTAATTCATAAAAGTACAAATCAACATGGACATATCCCTTATGCTAGAAAAAATGATACAAGAATGTTGTACAACAACCCATGCTTAGCTTCATAACTTTAGTATAAACTGTTTGAATGTAATAGATGGGGCTGGTATTGGCATTACTAATAAAACAATGTCAGTTTTTCAATCCTATCACTTTATCGAGCGTAGAGTTACAAGGACGCAAATGTCAGAGTCAAGGTAGCAGGTCTTTGCTTCACCTCCTGTCCCGGAGCACCCACTTAATTTCCCCAGGCTGCCTTCCCATCTATTGCCCAAGAGAGCAATTCTCACCTCCATTGTCTATGTGCTGACTCAGACAGAGCATACAGCATCTCTTTTCCTAACTTCAGCTATGTCACCGCAAATGTTGACTGCTGACCAACCTAAAAGAGGTTTCCATTTTAATCTCTCTTAACAACCTAAGTGTTTCCTTTACCAACTTTTTGTAACTTTTAATGATTCTGCTTATTCATTTCTTTACTTTAAAAAACTCCATTCCTATTGGATGGAATGCATCTACAAGACTGATAGTGCTATTTTGTTAACCGTAGATATCCATTGGCTGGTACAGTTGTTGGCGCACAGACTACAATTAATAAATATTAGCTAAATAGATATCTTCTATATTTTAGATGTTAGCCAACAGCTCTCTTTAGGTAATAACACCATGATTTCTTAGTTACATAATGTTTTATGAAAATAAATATTATGTTAATTTTTTGAAAACTTCACTAGAGGGATGTTTTGAAATAAAAAGATGATAAAAATTACTTACTTCTCCTTTGAAAGAACTTGTACAGATGAAAGGAACCTAAAATTTAATGTCCTTGTAGCTCTACCATAAGTTCTCCACTAACTACACCCAAGTCTTGATTGCAATGGTTTCTTCTTGTTTCAGGCCCAGCAATTGCAAGTTAGAACGTTAGGGCACTATTCATCTCACAGTTTATTCTGTGAGACCTTTGGGGCACGCTCACCATTTCTCCATACTCCCATAGCTGTTGTTTATTTAAAGCAACAAAATGCCAACTGGGCATCAGTATGAGAACCCAGTGTCATCAAAACAGCGGTGACTATGTCAATGCTAACCCAAGGATGATACTCGCTATGTGATCACGGTTCCGGGTCTCAACTGGTCTGAAAATATTTGACTCCTGACCCCCATATTTGCTCTTCTCTCTCTCTTTTCCCTTTCACTGTCATTTTACATCCTAAACTATCGTCTATTTTATTGACAACTATTTTTCTGCATTTTCAATCACGTATGACTTAAATTTTTTAGGGTAAGGATAAAACGCATAACAGCCCCTTGAGTGCCCGCTGAAATCTTATATCCCAACTACTCTATTTCAGTACTACTGGGAGGCAGTTTCAGTTTTACTGATGAGGCAATAAAGCTAAGAGAAAAAATGGAAATATACTAAATATGTCACTAAGAATTAGAGTTCCTCAAATAAAGTTCCCTCCGGGCAGCAGCAGTTGAGCCCTCTGCCCTGCCGTCTGATGACTTATAGGCTTTCATAGTGAGCAGTTCGGAGAGTCTGGGGACAACCGGCC